TTACACAGAGATTTTATGGGACATTGAAAGTGTGTACTGCCTACTTGGACAGCGCTGGAAATGGGCATACGGCTGAAAGTCCGGTCTGGAATCACAGAAATTATCTAGGTGTCTAAATGAGTCTCACCTATACTGTCCTCTAAAAAATTTGCAAGATATCGCTGCTGGGCAGTGTGATTTGTGATAACACGTGGCTTTAAGCTAAAGCTAATTGACTGACCTAAATTACTACTGTTAATAAACAAATTGTTCTAGAAATATGGGTATTGTGGCTTATACTGACGGAAGATCACGCTTACATCTTCCCTCCTATGGCTACCAACATGAGTGAGAAGAAGACGACTCGATCGCTGGGACAATACTTTTGTTCGCCTGACGTTTCGAGATCCGTCGCGGATCAGGTCATCTTCTTCTCAATTACTTCCTGGGACTCGCATGTTCGCTTGTATTGGCACCAACATAAGTCTCAATAGACATGCATAAAAAGACTTTCGACACAAAAGGTAGAAATAGACTGCAGACGCACCATCCTCATAGCATTTTCATGTAAGCTGAATCACGCGCAACGCAAAAAATGACCAAGTGATCAATCAGTATAGGTGTCCTTGTTTGAATACCGCACGACCTTCGGGGTTTTGCAAGAAAGCTGACCACTAACGAGAAGCAGTGTGTAGCAGTACTAGGCGCTTTTACCTAGATATAACATACTCAAAAGAAAAGTAAAGGAAAAAGACAAATGAGACTGCAGTAGTTATTTCTGTCATATTAGCCGTCATCAGACAACCATACCCAACCCCACTTGCTGCGGTAATTGAGGCTGGAACCCACGACCTGTTGGTTAGAAGCCCAACTCTCTCACCCACTGCACCACACACACGTTATCTTGTCGGTTTTGATCGGGAATATGAGCAAGGGTAGATGGGCGCTCACCGATCGGTTACGATCGAGTGAGCCCCATGGCACTAATCGATCGGTGAGCGTCTACTGACCTATACTCAGCAGATTCTTAAATTTTCGAATGCTTACAATGATTTTCTGGATGTGAAAAATCGACTAAAAGGTCAGTTGAGTAGTGCAACTGACAAAGGCAGACCACGCGGGCATACGTAAACATCAGTAACTTACCTGTAAACACGCCTGTCCACTCCCA